AGTTTATATTCTAATAATATTTCGAATAAAGTTTTGTATAAAAAATGTTCATATAACATTTCAAAAAATGATTAATAATAAATATTTATCATAAATATTCTGTGTTGTCTGGATTCTAAACTCAAAATTATGAAACACTCATTACTTTGAACGCTATTTATAAAAATGTGACATTGCATAATCCTTCAAAGAGAAACAAAGGTAATAATATGGCCTTTCACAAAAATAGATTTAAAAAATTGGTTTTATTTAAAAAAAAAGGAATTATAAAAATTATAATAGAAAAATAAAATATAATAGAATATATGATATTCAAATTGTGAAAATGTATATATATATATATATATACACTCCTTCAGCATATAGATCTGTTAGTACTAAAAATTTATATATATGTAATATAAATTATAGATTGACAGAGCTATAATCGATGGAATAATTATTTTGATATGAAAACTTTGAAAAAAAGGCTATCAATAATCAACATGTTAGAAGGCCACATTAGCAAAATGTCATATGCTGCTGATTCACTTTGCATAACTCAAAATGTTTATACAGCCAAATAAAATGTTAAATAACAAAGAACATTCAAATATATACATACAAGGTTCGATTCGCACGACTTTTCGGCAGTTTTAAAAAAAAAAGTTAAAAGGTGAATATTTATCTGTTTTATACAGGTTACAATATACAATAAAAAAATATTTAATATTATTTACAAATTTTTTTTGTAAAAAATTCGAAGCCATCTTAAATTTTTTTAATGATACCGTACAATTTTTTTTCATAATATTATAGAAGTCTTTAAGTCGGATTGAAATGACCGAAATGTCACTTTTATTAGAGAAGAAAGTGGAATTATGGCACTTTAGTTACATTTTATACAATAATTTGGTTAATAATCCACATTTAAGTTTAAAATTTAACAATTACATTCGTTAAAATGTTATTGATTGATTCTGGACTCAAAGTTATATTTATTATGTTAAGACACTATTAATAAAAATGTGGCGATGTATAATGGCTCGAAGAAAAACATGATAATGGCCTTCCATAAAAATAGCCTTACAAAATTAGTTTTGTTTAGAAAACAATATTTGGTTACAAAATTAAAAAAAAGTAAAACATTTTAAAATGTATACAAATAAATATATATACATATATTCACATAATTTCTGCATATTAGCTGCTGTACTAAAAATCTCAGTATTAAAAGTAGTACAAGTAGTTTAAACTATATAGAATTACAACATTAGAGCTACAATCAATTATCAAATAATTATTATTTATTATGAAAACCTCAAAAAAGAAAACGAATAATTGCAATATCCATATAGGGCACATTAGCAAAATACTATAATATTATTTAAATTTGCTTAACTCAAAATATATAATATATAGGCAAATAAAATGTTAAATAGCAAACAACACACTCAAAAATACATATATTCGTGTGATAATAATATTCTCTAAGTTTAAGAAAAATGAGGAAGTAAGTATAATTAAATGCTAAAATGTATCTTAGAAACGTTTTGAAATATTTAAAAATAAAATGCGTTATCATAAGTGTTGGCTATTGAATATTGGTATATTAATGTCATTGATATATTAACGGCGAATTACTGGACAAATAATTCCATAATTAATCATTAGGATTCGCTGTAATAGTCGAAATATTAAGGGAAGTCACAATATCTACACTGGCTATAATATCACCTTCTTCTCTAATGTTTATTTTATTGATTTTATTGATTCTTAATTCAAATTCACATCATTATTTGTAACAGCAGTGCTTACAACTTCTAATTAGATACAGAACATAAACATACATAGATAAGTTACAGTTTTTCTTTATTAATTTATGTTTATAATAATATTCTTTGCTAAAGGATATTTATGATGCATACATATTATGTACTTATTTAATAAAATATGCAATAAAATCAATACATGTATAAATGATTTGAATTCATCTTGAAGAGATCATGTCTACAATATTATGGAAAAAAATTGTATGGTGCCATTTAAAAAATTTAAGATGACTGATTATTTAAAAAAAAATTTTTTTTTAAATATTTTTTATTTCATGTTGTGGCCTGTATGAAATAAATAAATATTCACCTTTCAACTTTTTTTTTAAACTGTTCGAAGCATCTGAAAAGTCGTGCGGAACTGTTACGCTGAATACTCTGTATATTCGTATGATAATACATTCAAGTTTAGGAAGAATGGGGAAATATGCTAAAATGTATTATAAAAATATTTTGAAATGTTTGTAAGTAAAAATATATTATAATAAATGCTATTGTGTAGCACATTAGTCGTGTTGTAAAAGCGAGCTATAAAGCAAATAATTCCATAATCGCTAGAATTTGCTACTTAATAGCGGAGATATTAAAAGGAGGAGTCATTATATCTACACTGGCTAATATTATCTTCTCAATTTGTTACACATTTGTTTTCACTTCTTTTAAAAAGATTCTTTTAAGAAATTTTTACAGAAGCAATTCTTTCTTAGCTATTATTTTCCGACTCAAAACAATTGAGTCATATGTTTCATCTCTGGAATCAAATGTACTTTATAATAAACCCATAATTTTATGAAATTTTGTTTTACGATTTCATTTACGATTTTTAAATTGTAAGGTAATGTAGAAGGAAATCTTCTAAATAAGTGACAATTTATCTACATTAAAGACTGTCGCAACATTTTACTTCATCTAATAAAATTAAAAATAAGAATGCGAACAATGGCAGAAGTCCATATGTTCTGATGTATTAAAAAATAATGCACTCTAACAATACCATATACTTAGACGTCGTTATTAATGCAAGAACATTGTCATCGATGTCGCTACAATTCTATAAACAAATGACATACTATATTTCACCATTGTCGAGAGAAGATTTGCTGTTACATTTATGGTTGCGATGATAATAAAAATATGGACTTTTTGCCGGTGAACTTCTACGTTCTTCGTTTCTGCGGTGTATGGAAAGAACATAAGAATAGCAACTTGGTAATACGCTTCATCAGCTTCTGCTACAGGTAGAATAATATAAGACATATATTATGCAAATAAATTCATTCATTTATTTTATCATTAATATATATTAATATATTGAAATAATTTATAAATGTACTGTTTATTAAGGAAATTCTAGTCGCGCTGTCTAGTCAATAGATGGTTTATTTATAATAACACAGTCAGAAATGATAATGGAATTATCAATTCGACATCGATTTAATGCTTTCAACATCAAACGATATCGAATCGATATCGATTCGATGTCGATTCCATTATCAGTTCTGACTGAAAATATATAAAACAATTAAAATAATGGAATAAAAAAATTATTAATAATATCTTATGCTATTATACATAATTATTGTTAATTTTATATGTTACTAAATATTTTCAAAATGACAAAATAAAAATTATAAGATGCTCATTTAATGTATACATATCATTCATTTGACATATATTCTAGCTTTTTTTCATCGGAGAATATAAATTTCTTGTAAACTATATGGTTAGTTTAAATGAAACTTTACAAAAACAAACTTAAGTTTACTTTATAATTATAATGATGAATTTAAATTACTATCTTATACGCAAATGTCTCAATTTAAAAGACAACAACTACAGAATAAGGTTATACTTTCAATTTGTAACGTAAAATTCCATAAATTTAGAATTAAATATCTTCAAAATGGTACAATAAAAGTCAATTAAATTTTTTTCTAGATATTATTTGTATTATTAACTTTTGTATTATATATATTATAAACTTGTCTTATATTTCATCAAACGCGAGAATCTTTTTAATTAAGCGATATACATTTTTAGAAATTACAATTACTGTATTGTGTAACTTTTCTTCTTTTTAACGTATATATAATTTTGATAGATATACAATTGCTGCTATAATATATCATTTTACGATATTTGAGATGGCTGAGCTTATACGTATGAGAAATGATGTAGAAGATTTAACAGAAAGTCTATTCCTCGTTCTAACTTTTATGTGTTTATGCCTAAAATATTTAAACGTTTTGATGAGACAGTATGAATTGCGTGCTTTGCTTGATTGTTTTCGCGCTAATCTTTGTCAGCCAAGAAATTCGATGGAGGAATCAATATTGAAACAATACGACCTTAAAGGTATTTAAATTATATTATTCCTAAAAGAAATATTTGAAAAAAATTTATTAGAATATAAAATATTAATGATTAATCCTAAAATATTACATCCTAGTAGTACAAAGTGTTGGCGCAATATTGAGAAACAAATGTGCAGTCATCTAAGAGATTCCATTAAAGATCGACAATTTTACGGGAAATCGCATTACTGTTGAAACTTAAGTGATTAAGAGCAATAAACTGATAATACAATACTAATTTTATGATTTATTATTGCTTTCATAGATATGTATTTAAAATTCAATAATACTTGATTTTTATTAAAAATTATGAATTAATGTTATCGTCCATTTAATTTTCAGTAGAGATGATATAACAGATATATAGAAAAAAATTGTAATTTTGTCAGACCCTCCTTGTATGAAAATTTGTCCAGATCAGTTAACGATCTTTAATAGTATCTCATTAGTGGAGTAGACAACATTGAGTAAGAACTGCACACTCAATATTGGTCCAATATTCGGCACATAATAAATATAATAAGTAATTAAAATAAATATAAGGTAAAGAAAATAACAAAAATAATTATGATTA